ACACACACACACACACACACACACACACACACACACACACACACACACACACACACACACACACACACACACACACACACACACTGATGCACAAAACAAGTCAAGGTAATGAAATTTATTCCAGGCACCTGCAGGCGAGCGTCGTAATTCACAAAACGACCGAAGAGCATCGAACCGAACTGAGCAGCCCTCAAACGTCCTCCCCGACCAGGCCGAGCCGGCGGCGGCCCCGTTTTTGGTGGTCCCGCTTCCTCCCTCGCGCAACTCCGGTCCAGCGTGCAGGCGAGGCTGAAGGCGGCTCTCCACCTCCACTAATAACAGGGGCCGTTATGCAGGGACCAGATGTAAAAAAAAAAAAAAAAAAACGTTAGTGTCAGCATCACATCGGTGGTTAATGATCTATTAAGTGATGTGTGTGCTTATGGGCAGCGGGAAAAAGTGTCGATGCTTGCTTATTCGCCTCCTAATGAGAGTCCCGTCCTACGGATTTTAGGAATGAATAACACGAAATGAAATCCGCCTTAAAATTGCTTTGAGCAGTTGAGACTGCGGAGGCTGCCTCTGCCATTCGACATTTCGCGACTGAGCGGCTCACATCGCACTTGTGCCGTGTCGCACCTGTAACACGAGGCCCGGGGCACCGACGTTGGACCTCTGACTGACTGGGCACACGTCTGTGCTCACCAACGTCGCCAAACTTTTTGGATACTCCGGGATGTTATCATTGCGAGGAATACTTGATCTTTTCTTCCAGTCATGTTTTGCACCACTGTGAGGGTGTTAATGTGGTCGCTTCGTGGCCGTTCACCGCGAGCGGACACCCGGAGGAAGCTGAGTTTCAAGGCCGACTGGCGGGCAGGTGAACGATGAAGAGCCGCTCCTTGCACTGTTGCTTTTACGCGTGGGGGGTTTAACCGAGAAGTGAACATTCCGGGTAAAATTTTGGCATGAATTTCATTATTTACTACTCACAAACATATCACTAAATCCTCCAAAATAATTTACATCCTTGAAAATATGAATGATCCGCCGCACCTCCACTTGATTCCAAGGATCTTCATTGCATCTCGATTCTATGTGTAAAGATAATTCTCTCCAGTAACAAGATGCACGCTCAACCTCTAAAAGTTTAGTTTACTTATAGCTATGCACGCGGCGGTCCTTTTGCATCATCGTTTTAATTGGCCATTAACAGGGTGTACTTACTCAGGCATTCTTGTTTACTCCAGACTCATCGACTATCTCTGTGAAAACATGCATTATTAAGTCGCTGTCTGTGTAAACAGGGCGAGTCCATCCAGTCTGTGAAGGAAGCCGACTGCAAGCCGCATCAGACCTAATTGACACACACCGACCACTCTTACAGGAACAACGAGAGGTGAGATAAGTGCAAATCCGCACTCATTAATATAGAACGCGCTTCGATTAAACAGTGAAGATAATTTCTCTTTTTTAATTTCTATTTTGTTTTCGAGCCCACGTTTGCTTCCACTCGTTGCTGCCACCAACTCAGCCATTATCCATCAGTGTTATTTAGTATTCGATAAACGCGCTTTAGTTTATTTCTTGTGCCTGGGCGCCCCTGGTGGCACGTTTCATCACTGCCAGCACTTCAATGAGGAGTGTCACTGACGGCGTGCAGGCACGCAGCTCCAACTTGACAACATCATCTTATTCTAGCTGTGCTCAATTTACAAAACAAAGATCGGAGGGGGATATGAAATTATGATGGATGATTTTCGAGCTCAGATATCTTTGCTTGTCTTTTTATCAATATAACGAAATATACCTCACACACATACTGGCTTTATATACGAGTAAGAAGAAAATGCAACAATGAATCTGTATTTGTGCTGTAGTTTTTTTTTTTCATAAATTTCAATTGAAATACTTTGCATAACTGTCTGGTTTATTTCCAGTATCTTTTTGTACAGAATCATTTGAATAACTTTGGGATCTAATCATAAGTGTGGGCTAGTGCCAACACAGACAAATGTGATTAACAGCCAGATTATTCGGAAGTTGCATCAATGCTAACATTCAGGGCTATAAGTAAAGTAACTTCCAATCATGACTTGAATGTTCAGTTCTGGTTATTTTTGAAACAATCACATTGCTCGTGTTCTGTTCGGACACATATTTGTCCACATCATGTAACATTGTAGAAAGAATGTGTCTTCAGCAACAGGTTATTCGGATAATATCAAAACGAGGCTTTTCAAATGTCTCGGTTGACTATGTGACAAAGCTCTGAATAAAAAGTGTGAGTGCAACTCTTCCCAAAGGCACTCGCTGACTCCAGATCAGATTTTGTGTGGTGACCAAGTGGCTGTTACTGATGCACACGTGAATGAGTCATGCTATCCTCACGAGGGTCACGGGTGTGCTGGAGCCGATCCCAGCCGTCATCGGGCAGTAGGTGGGGGACACCTTGAACCGTTTGCCAGCCAATCGTAGGGCACACAGGGACGAACAACCATCCACACTCACATTCAAACCTAGGGACAGTTTAGAGTGTTCAATCAGCCTGCCATGCATGTTCTTGGAATGTGGGAGGAAACCGGAGGACCTGGAGAAAACCCACGTAGGCACTTCGAGAACATGCAAACTCCACACAGGAAGGCCAGAGCCAGAATCGAATCCTGCACCTTTGAACAGTGAGGCGGATGTACTAACTCGTCGACCACTGTGCCACCCTGAGTCATGCTAGTTATTGTTATTTTATGTCATGACCTATTTGTGGTGTGTGTGTGTGTGTGTTTGAACTTTTTTTTCAAAGAGCCTTTCTAGTGAATTCAGAGATTCAAATACATCATTAAGATAATTGCAGGAACATTTGAAAAGCTGAGAACTATACAGTACTGAATTGGGCAATTCAAGTTTTCCTGATATTTTGAGAGGCATGGCAAAAATAATATATATATATATATATATATATTTAATTTGCAGAGTGCTTTAAGAAAGGACTCAGACACGCTCTACAGTTTTAGAATTAGTAAGTAAAAAACAAAATATACAGACAAAAATACATAAATGTGCATCCACCAACACATAAGGGCATCCTGCATGAGTCACTCCTCCCCTACTCAATAAGAACTTGAGCTACAGTGCCTCTACCTGCGATGACCCAGTGGTGGCTTTCCATGGATATATTTTTTTGGCTCAGACATTTTGGAATGTGGAAGCATGAG